TTTGGTTATTTGTCTTGTGTGTGTAAAAAAGTCAGATCCTCTGCAAGACCAATACACTCACAACCACTAAGCCATCTCTCTAAGCCCCTCTGATAAAAAGCATGTGTATTAGTTTTTGGCCTGCATGTATGTGTACCACATGCATGGGTAGCACCCAGGAAGCCAGATGGTATGGCCCATGCAGGCACTGGGAACTGAACCCTAGTCCTCTATAAGGCATGCTTTTCTGTTTCAACAACTCAGGATCCACCTGCCTCCTTCTCCCAAGTGCTAAGTTTACAGATGACAAGACATCATGTCCAATTTACATACTAGAACTTCTTTGTTTGGTTTGGGGTTTTGTTTGTTTGTTTTTGTCTTTTGAGATTCTGTGTAACCTTGGCTGGCCTAGGACTTGTTATTGTAGATCAGACTGTCCACAAATTTATAGGGATCCACCTGCCTTGTCTCCAGAGTGCGGGTGGGGATTAAAGGCATGTTGTAAGGAGTAGGTTTTTCCTCCTGCCACTGGTCTTGTCTCGCCGCAGCGCCAGCCCCAATTAACACACCGAGACTCTGTATTAGATATAATTCTGTTAGCCAGTTACTAGTTTCTTATTGGCTAGCTCTATCTTAAGTATTAACCCATTTCTATTAATTTAAGTATTTCCACATGGTCTAATCTTACCGGGGACTGGGGCATCTAGTCTCCCCAGTCTCTCCATATTGACTCCTCCTTACTACTTCCTCAAATCCTCCTTGTCTCCTAGTCTCGCCTATCTTGCTTTCCTATTGGCCAACAGTGCTTTATTCATTAACCAGTATGAGAAACATATTTACAGAATGACATCTCCCATCATCTCCTCTTTTCTGTCTAAATAAAAAGAAGGGTTTTAACCTTAACAAAGCAAAATATATAACACAACAGTTATCAAGTAAGATCACAGTTAACAATATTTAGTCCATTAATATTTAGTAAGATTTAAAGAAATATTTCATCATCTATCCTATTTTTGTGAGTCTAAAGTCTTATATGTAACTTATCTTTAATCCTAACTAAGGAAAACTATAACCATAACTATCTGTCTTCAACTCCATCAAAGACCACAGAAGGATAATATATAAACTCTAGAAATGACAGAGACAACTCACTGCCTGATCAGTCACCCAAAGTTCTTCTGTAATCTTCCATCTTCAGCCCATAGGCCATAGTGTGTCTGGCAGACTCCTCAGCAAAGCAGGAAACTTTAAACTGTCTTCTTGTGTTGGCACGTTGTCAGTCACTTTTCTTTGTGTCCTGCAGACTGTCTGGCAGACTCTTCCATGAGGCAGGAACTCTGTAGCAATGTGCATCTTGAATCAGCAATCACTTTCCTTTGGGTCCTGCATGTCCAGTTTATACAGCATAAAGTCAAACAGTCCAGACAAGAGCAGTATCTTGTCCAAATGGCTAGTCTTGCCATATTGGAAGTAACTTCATAATTTTTCTTTAATGTCCATCTTCCTTTCTGATGCAAGTGGTGTTGCCAGGAACATTTATGTCTCACTGTCAAGAAAAACCCTAAACCATTTTAAATGCCATATTCTGTAGGTCTTTGAAAGGTTTGAAGAATGCCTATTCATCTCAAATACATCTCTATATATCTAGAAAACCTAACTAACACTATAAATTTTGACTACCATAGGTAATTATCTATAATCTGTACTACATTGTACATTACATTTCTAAATGATCTATATAAACACAATACCTAAACAAAAGGAGAAATATACACTTCACAAAATTGACCTTAAATTGTATCAATAAATGAAAATCCATTCCAAAACAAAGTATTCATAAATATACCATAATTCCCTTTTTTACCTTTAAAAAGAGATTGGTTGTGGTCATTAACCATTTATAACCAACCCCATTTAAATGAAAACAAACATTTATAAACAATATTTGGGAATTTGGGTGTCGTTCTTTCCAAACTGCTTCCTGCTGGTAAGGAGCGCTGTCATGGGGGATCCTAAGAAGATGAAATCCTGGCTGTAGTCTGCAAGGCTGCTATGTCCCAACTGTTTTGAATGTTGGATCACCAGGAACTCTGTTTCAGGGGGGTCAGCTTGATCAAACCACATTAGTCTAGAAGGAATCCACAGCTTTCCATTTTCTGTGGAAACAAAAATGGAAATCCTTTTCCCCAGTAACTTGTCCTTAAACTTAAATTTTTGAGTCAAAGCATTTTTAAAATATATAAATTGGATTGATCCAGCAGCATTTGTTTTAACAGTTGTTGTCAAACAATACAAAGACAATATAATACTGTACAGTATCCAGATTCTCTCCATCCTGGCTTTTTTATTACTCTGTTTCTGTTAGTTTTATTTTTTATTTTTTGAGACAAGGTTTCTCTGTGTAATTTTTATCTGTCCTGGAATTTACTCTGCATACCAGGTTTACTTTGCAATAACAGAGATCTGCTTGCCTCTGTCTCCTGAATGCTGGGATAAAAGGTGTGTGCCACAATATCTAACTCTTCATTATATTATTAAAACCATTTTATTCCTTTTCTCTACCAAGCCTACATATATTTTAGAACACACTGTAAACCTTTTGCGCTTTTTCTTAATGTGAATCTGTCTTTACTGTAAATCTTTATCTTTTTTTTTTTTTTTTTTTTTTTTTTTGCCACAAGTCTTTTATCTGGTAAACAACAACATTGCTAAAATGAAAATCATAGTTGTTTCTGCCGTGGTTTATCAAAGATGGTATGGTGGCGGGTTCCTTTACCGTCAGCAGTGAGAGCTGTGCTCACCACCTTGGTCTATGCTGCACCCAGCAGGCATGCTGCCGGCTTGGAGATGTGGTCACTGCCATTGCCAGCTCTCATACACACCAATAAATTGTTAGCAGTGCGTCTTAAAAGCCGTACAGTTTTTTGCTGAGTCAGGAAACTTCCCTTAAAGGAGCCGCGCAAATATCTGCTTGTCTTTCTCGAAACAGAGTCCAACCGAGAAAAATGCTGCTACCAAGAAACCTTGCTTGTCTCTGTTCATTTGTTTGAAAAACCCTGTTTTAATCTTTTGTTAAATTTTGAGTGGAAGTTCTTATTAACCACATGGGCGCCATATGTAAGGAGTAGGTTTTTCCTGCTGCCACTGGTCTTGGCCCCCTGCCCTGCCAGCCCCAATTAACACACCGAGACTCTGTATTTGACATAATTCTGTTGGCCAGTTACTAGTTTCTTATCAGCTAGCTCTGTCTTAAGTATTAGCCCATTTCTGTTAATCTATGTGTTTCCACGTGGTCTCATCTTACCGGAGAGTGGGTCCGGCGTCTGGTCTCCCCAGTCTCTCCATGTTGACTCCTCCTTACTACTTCCTCGAATCCTCCTTGTCTCCTAGTCCCATTTATCTTGCTTCCCTATTGGCCAACAGTGCTTTATTCATTAACCAGTATGAGAAACATATTTACAGAATGACATCTCCCATCAGCATGTACCAGCACTACCAGCCATACCAGATTGTTTTAAGTGTCACCTATAGGCTGGGAGTGTATTTTTGCTTGCAGAGCTTACCTGGCATGCATGAAGCCCTGGGCTCTATCACCAACACTAAGTAAACTAGGCATGGTTGTACATGCCTGTTGTCTGAGAAACAGGAATCTGAAGGCATGAAAATCAGTAGTTCAATGTCATCCTCCACAACAGAGTGGATCTGAGGTCAACCTGGACTACATGAGATTGCTCCAAGAGGTAAGAAAGAAAACTGTGGGAGGGGGGTGAAGAGAGGCCAGCTGCCTGGCTAGAGTAACCAACTCTGCCAGACACTTAACTGACATCAACAAATTGGGCCTTTTCCATCCCCAGATGGGTACCCATTAGGAAGATCATAGCCAAGAGTCCCAACATGTGCAGAAGCCAGACTGGAATTGGGTAACTTCAGATGTTATTAGCACACAGGTGTACTGGACCCCACATCATGCCTTGCGTTCTCCACCTTTAAAATGGAAGCAGTAACCTTAACTAGGAATCTTCAGGAGCAAGCCAACTGGCAGCTCTCTACACATTATTGCTGAGGAACTACACAGGCAGGGTCTAGACCTCAATTTTGTCTTGGTTAGTCGTTTCCTTTCTTTTGTTGGGATGGGAGAGGATGAGACAGGGTTTCTCTGTATAGCCTTGGCTGTCCTGGAACTCACTCTGTAGACCAGGCTGGCCTTGAACACCCAGAGAGATCTGATGCCTCTACTTCCCAAGTGCTGGGAGTAAAGGTCCTATGCCACTACTTCCTTGGGGAACCTGGTTAGTTTTTATTGTCAATTGAACAAAACCTAGAGTCACCATGGAAAAAAAGACATCTCAGTTGAAGAATTATTTTCATTACTGGACTATGGCCATGTGTGATTGCCTTCAGGAATGATTGATATGGGAGGGCCAACCCACTGTGGGTAGGTTGGCAGTTGGGCCTAGGTTTTATTTAAAGAACTAGCTGATAGCCAGGCTATAGTGGTACACATCTTTAATCTTTAATCCCAGCACTAGGGAGGCAGCCCTTCCCCTTTTTTTCTTTCATTCTTTCTTTTTTTTTTTTTTTTTTTTTTTTTTTGAGACAGGGTTTCTCTGTCGCTTTTGGAACCTGTCCTGGAACTCGATCTGTAGACCAGGTTGGTCTCAAACTTAGCGACATCCATTTGTCCCTACCTCCCAAGTGCTGGTATTAAAGGTGTACACCACCATCACCCAGAGATTCTTTTTGGGGGGGGGAGACTTTTTTGTTTTGTTGGGGTTTCTTTTTTGTCCTAAAACTGTCTCTGTGGATCAGGCTGACTTTGAACTCAGAGATCTGCCTGCCTCTGCCTCCGAGTGCTGAGATTAATGGTGTGCACCCCCACTCTCAGCTCACCTTGGAATGTATTAAAAACTTTATTACATCATGTTTGGGAATGGGAAGGTCATGGTGTTTACATGGAGTGTAGAGGAAAACTTTCTCTTTAATATTTTTATTTCATTTTACATTCCAACCAAGTTCTCCCTATAAATATGGAACAATGCTTCATGAATTTGCATGTCATCCTTGGGCAGGGGCCATGCTGATCTTCTCTGTATTGTTCCAATTTTAGTCTAGGTGCTGCCGAAGTGAACACTGCAGAGGAAAATTTTGAGAAGCCAGTTTTCTCCTTCTATCCTGTGGGTTCCGGGTTGTCAGGCTTGGCAGCAAGTACCTTTATGTGCTGCTTAGCCATCTCTCTGTGCACATATACTTAATTTTGAAGTTGTATATGTTGTATATAGTTTTGGGCTAGAAATCTTTTTTCTGTTGTTTTTTGTCTTACAAGACAGGATTTTCCTGCCCTGGAACTTGATCTGTTGACCATGTTGGCCTCTGGACAGAAGTTTCTGTCCCACAGGTCATGCAGCCATTTAGTCCCAAATAGACACAGAGAGGCTTATATTGATTATGAACTGTTTGGCTGGTGGGTCAGGCTTCTTATTGGCTAGCTCTCTCTTAATTATTAACCCATTTCTATTAAACTATGTATTGCCATGAAGCTGTGGCTTACCCATACGTAATACTCTAACAAGTTCCTCCTTTGGCAGCTACTTAGCATCTCCCTGTCTATTCTATCTACTATCTTTCTCTTCCCTGTTTGGATTGTCCACCTGGCTAAATTCTGCCTGTCCATTGGCCAAAACAGCTTTATTCATCAACTAATAAGAGAAACATTCACAGCATACAGAAGGACATCCTCCTTCAGGCCTCAAACTGAGAGATCCACCTGTATTTGCCTCCTGAGTGCTGGTATTAAAGGAGTAGGCTACAGCCACCTGGCTGGGCTGTAATTCTTAAGTATCTAAGAATGGCCTTGAACTCCTGATCCTTTGTCCTTGTTTTCTGATGTCCTAGGATGACAGATATAAGCAACCATGCTTTGAATAAGTTACCTTCTGACCATCAGGATTTTCTCCTGTTTATAGGATGGCCATAACTAGTATGATCTGTCAATCAAGGAGTTTGTGATTTTATTTGATTCATTTATTTTCTTTTTCCTTTTTTTTTAAGATTTATTACATATACAAAGTTTTGCCTCCATGTATGTCTGCACACCAGGAGAAGGCACCAGATCTCATTATAGATGGTTGTGAGCCACCTGTGTATTTTTCTATCCAGGGTTTCTCTTTAGCTTTGGAGCCTATACTGGAACTTGCTCTGTAGACCAGGCTGGCCTCGAACTCACAAAGATCTGCCTCCCAAGTGCTGGGATTAAAGGCGTTTGCCACCACTACCCAGCTGAGTTTGTTATTTTAAAATCAGCAGATCTTATTGATTTTAGAGACAGGCTTCTCTATATGTCCAGGCTGACCTCAAACTCATGACCTGTCTCAGCCTCCTGAGTGCTGGAATTAAACTGCCAAGCCCTACCACTACCAGAGAGAAGATTTTATGGATTCCCATTCTTGTGATAAGCTGAAACTGACCCTGCAGTAAGACATGGTTATGATGGAACCTGCCAGCAATACTACCCAACTTTAGTCTCTCTTCAGGTCCTTCTGCTGTTCTTTGTCTATTCTCCCCTTTCTCATATAACCTCATTCTGGTCTGGGGAGGAAAACACATGTTCAGTGAAGATCAAGGGACAGTTTGGGGGAGTCCATTTTTTTCCTTCCACCATCTGGGAATCAAAATCAGGTCACCAGGCCTGGTGGCAAGTGTCTTTATCCTCTGGGCAATCCTGCCCTACACCCATTTTTGTTTGTTTGAGGTGGAGTCTTGTCCAGCCCAGAATGGCCTCGAACCGACATCTGAAAGTGACTTTGAACTTGGGATGGGATGCTCTTGAGTACTGAGATCATATATGGACAACACCATGTCTTCAGTTCTGGGGATCAAACCTGCAGCTTTGTGCAGATCACTGAGCCTCAGCCTCTAGCATCACAGTGAAATGCCAGTGTTAGCCTGTAGGTGGGGCCATTGAGACTTGATTAAAAGCTAGAACAACCAGAAACCATGGCTCACTAAAGCCATTGGGGCAGGAGAGATGGCTCAGTGCTTAAGAGCACTGGCTGCTCTTCCAGAGGTCCTGAGTTCAATTAGTACACTTCACATGGAAGTTCATAACCATTTGTAACTGTAGTTCCATGGGATCTGATGCCCTCTTCTGGTGTACAGTTGAACATTCAGACAAAACACCCATATAAATAAAGACATAAATCTTTTTTGTTTGTTTGGTCTTTCAAAACAGGGTTTCTCTACATAGCGTTGGCTGTCCTGGAACTCCCTCTGAAGGCTAGGCTGGCCTCAAACTCAGATCCACCTGCCTTTGCCACCCAAGTGCTGGGATTAAAGTAAAGGTGTGTGCCACCACAGCCCAAGAAGAAAAAGAAGTCTGAGGCAGAGGGATAAGGAGACTGAAGATGGCCTGGTAGTCACAGTGAGTTCTATACCAGCCAGGGCTACAGAGTTAGACCTTGTCTTTCAAAACAGAAAAAGAAAAAAATCAGACCAAAGTTATTGAAAAACCTCATCGGTAGATCTGTCAGGAGGGTGATCAAAGCCAGGCTGGGCTTCCATCCATCTGTGACCTTTTCTTCCTTCTCCCTTCTGTCTCCTTCCTCCTATCTCTTGATGTTTTTTCCTTCCTTCTTTTCAGTCACTCTTTTTTCTTTTTTAAAATCTCTCAACTGGCTGGGCGGTGGTGACATACGCCTCTCTGCCTAGCATCCATTGATCTCTGTGAGTTCAAGACCAGACTAGTCTACAAGAGCTAGTTCCAGGACAGCCTCCAAAACCACAGAGAAACCCTGTCTGGGGGTGGGGGGGTGGGGGGGTGGGGGGGATGGGGGGTAGAAATCTCTCAACTGCTTGTATACCTGTACACCAGAAGAGGGCACCAAATCTCATTACAGCTGGTTGTGAGCCACCATGTGGTTGCTGGGAATTGAACTCAGGACCTGAGGAAGAGTAGTCAGTGTTCTTAACCTCTGAGCCATCTCTCCAGCCCTCTTTTTTCATTTAACCTCTGAGCCATCTCTCCAGCCCTCTTTTTTCATTTTATAGAGGAAGGTGTTTTGTTTGGTTTTTGAGACAGATTTTCTCTATGTATTCCAGGCTGTCCTGGAATTCTCCCTGAGGCTAGCCTCAGATCTGCCTGCCTCTGCCTCTGGGAGAACTGGGATTAAAGGTTTGTGCCAGCACTACCTAGCAAATAAAATGTTTTGAAACAAATTTTTGCATCATTTGTAACCAAGACTTGACTCTCAGCAATCTGCCATATTGTGGAATATTATTTTAACTGGACAAAGAAGTGTTACATTTGTTTATGTTATGGGATATTACTTTAACTGTGCAAAGGTGTGTTACTTTATTTCTGCTGCCATTGTTAACACTATAAAAATGTTACATTTGTTTATGCTACATTTGTTTAATTATGTAAAGATGTGTTACACTTGTTTCATCTTGCCTGCCTAAGGCACCTGATCAGTCTAATAAAAAGCTAGTCAGTAGAATAGGCAGGGCTGGCAAGCAGGGAGAATCAGGAGCAGAAATCTAGGCTTGGGAGAGGAAAACTAGAGAGAAAGAGAGGGACATGCCCAGGGCCAGAAGCCATGCCAACCAGACATAGAGACAACAAGAAAGTAATATATACAGAAAGAAAGGAAGGAAGGAAGGAGAGAAGGAGGGAGGGAGGGAAGGATGGAGGGAGGGAAGGAAGATAGGTAAAAAGCACCAAGGCAAAACATAGGTAAGGAGAAACAGATTAAGAGCTAAGATAAAGCTAACTATTCATAACTAATAAGATGTCTCTGTATCATGCTTGGGAGCAGCGTGGTACCCTGCTGCCTTTGCCTCCCATAGGCATGAGCTACCATGTCAAGCTCCTGACAAATTAATAAACAAAATATGGTTACCCATACAATAGAGTATGATTCAGTCTTCCTTGAACAGTGAGGAAATTCTGTCATACACTTTTTTTTTAAAGATTTACTTTATTGCTGGGTAATGGTGGCACACACCTTTAGTACCAGGGCTTGGAAGTCAGAGGCAAGTGGATCTCTGTGAGTTCAAGACCAGCCTGGTCATGTCTACAAGAGTGAGTTCCAGGACAGCCTCCAAAGCTACACAGACAAACCCTGTCTTCAAAACAAAACAAAACAAAAGACAAAAAAAAAAAAAAAAGATTTACTTTATTATCTATGCAGTGTTGTATCTATATGTATCCCTGGATTGCAAGCCAGAAAGGGGGACTAGAAGGCATTACAGATGGTTGTGAGCCACCATGTGGTTGCTGGGGACTGAACTCATGACCTCTAGAAGGGCAGCCAGTGCTCTTAACCTCTGAGCCATTTCTCCAGCCCCTGATATACACTTTCTATGGTTTTAATATGTCCCCTATAGGCCTGGGGTGTAGCTCAGTGATAAAGCATTTGCCTAGCATGTCTGAAGCCCTGCATTCAAATCTAAGTACCAAACTGAGCAAAACAAAAATTTCCAGGCTGGAGAGATGGCTCGCTCATGCTTTTCCAGAGGTCATGATTTCAATTCCCAGCAACCACATGGTGGCTCACAACCATCTGTAATTCCCAGCAATAACATGTTGGCTCACACAAAAACAATAACAAACACACACACACACACACACACACACACACAGAGTAACTTGGAAAGGAAAGGGCTTATTTCAGTTTACAAGTTACACACCATCACGAAGGGAAGTGAAGGCAGGAATTTAAGCAGAGACCACAGAGGATCCTGGAATGATCCTTCTGTCTCCCCAGTGCTGGGATTAAAGGTCTGCACCCCATGCCTGGCTTGGCTTTCTCTCTAACTAATGGGTTGCTGGCTGTTCATTTTGCAACCCCCCTCACCCCCACCACCCCAAGACTGACTCAGCATCTTGTTTTGGCCCTGAATGTACAATAGCTTCATGAACTGATCCTCCTGTCTCCACCTCCTGTGTGCTGAGATTACAGCTGTGAGCCACCACTATGCCTGGTATTTAAAGTGCTAGAGGTGAATGGATGCTAGGCAAACACTGAGCTACATCCCCATAGAAATTAACTTCTCTGCTGAGCCTTGCTTAGCTGGGTTTTGTCTACCAGGGAGAGAGAGGAGGCTCAGGCGCCCTCTGGTGTTCACTGCTCAGAA